CTGCCATATAGGAGGACTGATATTACATAACAGTTCAGTAATCTTTCCTTTGTTTCTGTTGCTTTAAGTCTCTTCTTCATCTGTGAGGAGATTGTCCAGCATTCACTGCCATATAGGAGGACTGATATTACATAACAGTTCAGTAATCTTTCCTTTGTTTCTGTTGCTTTAAGTCTCTTCTTCATCTGTGAGGAGATTCATCAGCATTCACTGCCATATAGGAGGACTGATATTACATAACAGTTCAGTAATCTTTCCTTTGTTTCTGTTGCTTTAAGTCTCTTCTTCATATGTGAGGAGATTGTCCACCATTCACTGCCATATAGGAGGACTGATATTACATAACAGTTTGTTTCAGCTTTAATCTTTCTTCTTTTGTTTCTGTTGCTTTAAGTTCTCTTCTTCATCTTCATCTGTTGTCCACCATTCACTGCCATATAGGAGGACTGATATTACATAACAGTTCAGTAATCTTTCCTTTGTTTCTGTTGCTTTAAGTCTCTTCTTCATATGTGAGGAGATTGTCCAGCATTCACTGCCATATAGGAGGACTGATATTACATAACAGTTCAGTAATCTTTCCTTTGTTTCTGTTGCTTTAAGTCTCTTCTTCATCTGTGAGGAGATTGTCCAGCATTCACTGCGATATAGGAGGACTGATATTACGTAACAGTTCAGTAATCTTTCCTTTGTTTCTGTTGCTTTAAGTCTCTTCTTCATCTGTGAGGAGATTGTCCAGCATTCCCTGCCATATATGGGGACTGATATTACGTAACAGTTCAGAACTCTTTTCTTTGTTTCTGTTGCTTTAAGTCTCTTCTTCATCTGTGAGGAGATTGTCCAGCATTCCCTGCCATATAGGAGGACTGATATTACATAACATTTCAATATTCTTTTCTTTGTTTCTGTTGCTTCAAGTCTCTTCATCATCTGTGAGGAGATTGTCCAGCATTCACTGCTATATAGGAAGACTGATATTACATAAGAGTTCAGTACTCTTTTCTTCGTTTCTGTTGCTTTCTGTCCTTCTGTGAATCGTTTTATGTCATATCCACTGTCTTCCCAACTGAGCAATGGTGTGAGGAAAAGGTCATTCAGGCCTTGAGTAATGGCCTCAACATTCATACTCTGTCTTCCATCTTCAAAGTCCCTTCAAGAACCATCAAGAGAACGGTAAGTTTTAAAAAGAGGGAAAAGTAGAGAGGAAAACTGGATCAAGAGGTCACAATAGGAAGAGGGATCATCGTTTCAACTTAGAGCTAGACAGATCAATTAGAAAAGATCCAGTTCAATCCATAAGACGTTTAGCACGTGAGAGAAGTCGCTTTGTGAAAATTGCCATTTTTTTCTACTTTTCACGCAGCACGAATGATTTTGTCTTTTCCTCTTTTGTATAATTCGCCTATCAAATTTATTGTATTTAAGCTATTGTTCTGAAAACTGTTTTTTATTCCTTTTTTGTGCTTATTAACATATTAAAAAAACTTGGCATCATACATGTTTCAGATTCTGTGAAATGGATAAAAATATTCAACATCGATGTGTGTATAAATAAATTCATCGTTGACTATATATATATATATATATATATATATATATATATATATATATATATATATATTATGAAAGGCTCAAACACTAATATTCCTGAGTAATAACAATCCAATTCATCAGATCTAAAAATTCAAAAAATTGTATGGAAAACGGAGTTATATTTTCTGATTTCGTTTTGAATGTGTAGGTCTGATGAATTGGATTCTAATACGATTCCAATGTAATAAATTATAACCATGGAATATTAGTGTGTGAGTCTTTTATATTATATTCTAATTCTGTCCTGGATATTGAGTTCTACCTGGATCCTATCCTCTTGGGAATTTATATATATATATATATATATATATATATATATGTATGTATTTGTGTGGGCGTATGTGGGCGTAAATGTGTGTGTATTTGTGTGAGGTATATTTATTCTAGGCAGAATTCAGACAAACACGTTTTCGTAAATTTAATCGAATACGTCGGTTTTAATTTTAATTTTTTTTTTATTATTTTTTCTTATATTTTATCCAATTTCTGAAGAAAATGTTCTATATGCAGATCAAAATTATGGATAAAATAAAAGCAGCAGTTTTTCTAAAAAAATCTTGAAAAATTTCCCCTAACTAATCAATTGAATGAAAAGGATATATATATATATATATATATATATATATATATATATATATATATTACTGGACATTGGATTATATGGATCGGCGTCATATGTATATCGGGTGTAACAGCAAAACTGTCCAAATCGTATAAACGTGAGAGGAAAAAGATCATTCGAACCTTCAATAATGGTACTAGCATTCATACTCTGGCTTCCATCGTCAAAGTTCATTCAAGAACCATCAAGAGAACGGTGAATAAGTTTTAAAAAGAGGGAACAGTAGAAAGGAAAACTGGATCAGGAGGTCACAACAGGAAGAGGGATCATCATCTTACCTAAAGAGACCAATTAGACAAGCTCCAACTCAATCCATAAGACATTTGGCACACGAGGGAGGACTTTCACCTATGACAGACCAAAGAGCAATGAAAAAACACTTGAAAATGAAAGGATATATATATATATATATATATATATATATATATATATATATATATATATATATATCGCTAGGAAATCAATTGAACGAAATCGACTGAAAGGTTGAAGCCAAGGTTGCGGAATCGCCAGAATTCCTAACTTTTTATACTTCAAAGCTCTTGTTATCTTTTTGTATGTGTAGTGAGGACTATTTTTTACTACTACTGCTTCCTGGTTTAATTAGACTCTGACCATTAACTTCTTTATCACCCGCCCTATATATATATATATATATATATATATACACAGAGTGAGAGGTCACATCAAAAATACTTTTGAAATCTTTACTGGCAAGTTCGTCACACTAAAACAAGGGAAAAAGTCCATATATACATAGGTCCACAAATCGTTCGCTTTTGAATTATAAAGTTTAAAGATAAATTTGCAGTAGAAGGCGTTGTGTTGTCATATAGACTGACTTACATTTGTCATTCGTGTATAATTGTGGTTAGTCTGTCTTCAACGTTTAACGTGTGTGGTAGTGAGTTATCTGAGAGGTGTTCTGTTTAACAATATTTTCGTCTCAGTGAAGTATTTTCTCTTTTAATCAAAGTAGCAGTTCCTATGTCAAAATTGTGGTCCGTTTTGGTACGGTGAACAACCAATACGTTTTGTGTGTTGTTATTTAAAATGTCCGTTTTGTATTCATATGGTCTCTTGTTTAAACTTCTTGAGGTTTCTCCAATGTATTAATTCTGGCAAATCCTCCATTTGATAGAGTAAATTCCTTCTTCAAACTTTGGCTGTATTGTTTTGTTTTTTGTTTTGTTTTGTTTTTTACTTTTTGTTTATTGATTATTTACGGAGACGAAAATGTCTGGAAAGTACCTTCATCACAAGTTCATCCACCATAAATTTACGTCCTTACTTTTACAATATATCACCATTCTAAGTAGACTTTATATTGTTAGAGTGTAAGATAATCTTTGACAAAGGTGATGGAAAGCAAAACAATGCAGATGATTTCGAGAAAACATATTCTCTCAAACATATTCTTTGAAAAATTGTGTATATTTAGGCAGCAGTTTTTTACTGATGCATGTTTCATTAAATAATATAGACAAGTTTTGTCTATTTATTTTAAGTAAGTTCCTTTCATATTGTCTGATAAGTTTAATAACATTATCATTGAAAGACAAAAGGAAATCACATCCAATCTAAGCTTTCGGCTTACATAAGCCATCATCTGAGATGTCAATTACTTTTCAATATATCAACCAATACACGGACGAATCAATAATGTTTTTGTTTCAAAGCAACGACTAACTCGTGTATACGAGACGCGGAAGCAAAAATCGCGAGAGTGAAAACGAGAAGTATTAAGTATGGGAAGCCGTTGGTATAAACCGATGGCTTCTGTTATCAGTTATAGGCATTTAAGAATATTTGTGGAGATTCCGTAGTTTATTTTGTTCAGTTTAGGTTTCAAATGTTTTATGTATATAGCGTCAAGAATTTTTAGTTTTTGTTTATTGTTTTCATGTTTAAGTATAGTTGTGTTTTTAACAAGGATTTTCCGGAATTGTGTACGCGGCCTGGCATGTTTTAAATGCCTAAAAATGTTAGATCTATCATTCAAATGTAGAGTCAAGCGTCATGAAAGCGAGTTTGTGCTGTGACCAACACAAATATTATTTCATCCATTGGAGATACAATCTCCCAAAGGACACGTGAATTTGTAAACTATGTTGGTTTTTTGCAAATCACTAACGGGGAGTGGGGAAGAATCATTACGAATAATTAAGTTGGATATACTAGATTTAGTGTAGTATATGATTAACCTAATTTTTTTGCTAGGATCTGTTATAGATATATTAGTATTTACTAATTATTTTAGTATATTTTCATCTTGTTTCTAATTAGTATGCATTTAACTACGATATAAGAGATTAATATGTTTGTGATTAATAGAAGCAGTATTATGGACTATTTGCTTAGTATTAGGACTTCTAAGAAAGCATTTTATTTGTTCATCAACTATATAGTTTGGAAAACTATTATTAATAAGTGTTTGTTTTATATTCTTAAGTTCACTGTAAAAATCTGTTTTGTAGACGAATTAGTTTCTGCGGGATATATATATATATATTACTGGAATATGAGTATCCATATTTGGACAGCTGCGAGCATGCGAGCAAGACTTCTCTTGCAATATCGTGGTTCTCTCCCTTGACCCCATCGTGCTAAATTCTATTAAATAGACATGCCAGACAAAACTAAGCCATGATGGAAATGTCAACTAAGGCCAAACTAATCAACATTATTCACCTTCATCCCGGGCCGCCCCTAATGATCCCTTGAGCTGTTGTTAAAGCTGAAATCGCTTTCGATAAAGAAGAAAAAGGAAAAAATAAAGAATGGTTTAAGACAAATAAAAAATGAAAAAGAGGAGGAAAAAAGAAAAAATGATGGCTAGAAGTAAAGACGAAAGCAAATGAAAGTGATAGAATGGGAAATGAAACAGAGAGAGAGAGAGAGAGAGAGAGAGAAAGAAAAAAGGGGAGGAAATTGATAGGGGAAAATTTTCAATAAAAAGAGAGAGTGAGTAACGAGGTGAAAGGGCAGAAAATGGAAAAAACAACAGAGACAAAGAGAAGAAAATGGAGAAAAGAAAGAGAGTCAGAGAGAGAGAGAGAGAGAGAGAGATGTGGGGAATGAATGAGGGAGTAAATCGTAAAGGAAAAAAGTGAGAGTGATATAAAAACGGGAAAAAACAAACGGAGAGAAGAAAAAGCAGTAGAGAGAGCAATGGAAACAGATAGATAGATAGATAGATAGATAGATAGAGAGAGAGAGAGAGAGAGAGAGAGAGAGAGAGAAAGAACGAGGAAAAAGAAATGAGAGAGGAAAATAAAAGAAGAGAGATGTAAAAAGAGAATAACGAAGAGGAGAGAGAAAAGGAGAGAGACAGAAAGAAAGAAGGAGGGACACAAGGTGTGAAAATAGAGAGGAACGGAAGAATAGCCTAGTCTAAGAACAGATCTTCTCTTGTATTTTATTCATATATATATATATATATATATATATATATATATATATATATATATAATAAGCAGACCACTTTAAGGTTCCATGTAATAAATTATTTCACCACGGCCCTTTTAAAGGACTGCGGATCATCAGACTTTACTTCCAAAGTTTGTGTACCGGATGTAACAGCAAAATTGTCCAAATTATGTAACAGCAAAATTGTCCAGATCTTGTAACAGCAAAATTGTACAACTTCTAGGTTATGCATTAAACAGTTGTATCTTAGAAATGATTAAAATTATTTTACTGGAATTCTGCGAGGTTTGTATGACATTATTGGACGCTACTTTGAGCAATAAAAATGTATAATTACTCTCCAAGCTTAACGGAAGAATCGTGATTAAATCGATCATAAACGAAAATGACATGTTCATCAATAATTAATCATAGCTAAGGATCAGAAGCTTATGAAGTATCGAAATAAAGTTGATTGAAATAAAGTTTTACTGCTCCTTTTTTTTTTAAAAACTTATTCATCATTCTCTTGATGGTTCTTAAATGGATGTCGAACATGGATGTCAGAATATGAATATTGGTATCATTACTGAAGTCTTGAATGATTCATTTTTTTTCTCTTATCATTGGTCAATTGAAAAGACATGAGTTGGAAAGTGTATATATATATATATATTTTATATATATATATATATATATATATATATATATATATATATGTATGTATATAAAGCATGGCTTAATTCAAGTATGTTTGGTTGAATAATCTGGATATATTATGTCTATTTTTATTTTAATTTTCTCAAATTCACGGATCAATTTCTCAAATTGCTGTTATTAAATTGACTAAGGAAGGCGCCGTGGTTTTGTTCATTTCTTTTATTTTCCTAAGTAATATATATTCTCTCGGTCAGACCTTTCGAAGCCCATAGCTCCTAACATTTACCCTTATGAAAATTCACATTCTCTCGTTTAGACCTTTCGAAGCCAATATATCCTAACTTTTACCCTTATGAAGAATTCACATTCTCTCGTTCAGACCTTTGGAAGCTCATATCTCCTGATTTTACGCCTATGAAAAAATCACATTCTCTCGTTCAGACATTTCAAAGCTCATATCTCCTGACTTTTACCCCTATGAAGGATTTACATTCTATCGTTCAGCCTTTTCGAAGCCCATATCTCCTGACTTTTACCCCTATGAAGAATTCACATTATCTCGTTCAGACTTTTCGAAGCCCATATCTTCTAACTTTTAACCCTTATGAAAATTCACATTCTTCGTTCAGTCCTTTCGAAGCCCATATCTTCTGACTTTTAGCTCTATGAAAAATTCACATTCTATCGTTCAGACTTTTCGAAGCCCATATCTCCTAACCTTTACCCCTATGGATTGAGAAAAAGTATTCGTGTGACGCGTTTCGTTCTTTAGGACTTCATCGGACTAAATTTGTTACGTTGCTGTGACTACACATGCTCAAGAAGGAGGGATGCTGAGAATATTAATTTTTACTTTTTTGTTAATAATCTGGCGGATTTTATTTAGATTTGTTTTCTTTTTCTTTCCATTATTTTTTATTAGATATCCCCACACTGTGGTAATAGACGATCTGCAAAGAATGGTGAAATGTTAGAGCCAGAGCGCAAATTTACTGTAGAGGACCTTGTGATCCAAGACACTCTCGAAACATTTTCGCCTTTGTGAATTGTTTTCCTTTTGTTAAGAGTAACATGCTTTATGTTCGTAGTCAGTTTCGTTACGGTGAGCAACTAGAGCATTTAATGTATTGTTTTGTAAAATATCCCTTTTGTGTTCATATAATCTTTTATTTAGATTTCTTGAGGTTTCTCCTATGTATATTTTGAGACAATTGTTAGATGCAATTGAGTAAATTCATGCTTCAAGTTGTAACTCATTGTTTTCTTTAGATTTGTGGCCGCTTTTCTATTTTGTAATATTCTATGAGCCTTTTTACTTCGCATTGCATATAAAATAATTAGTGTACAAAAGAAGATTGAAAGTGTTTTCAATATATTTTACTTCTTCATTTAAATATTGTGGGCTGCGAATTCTTAAGTAGAATTCAATGATTATACCGGATTTTATTTTGTTATGATGAGAACATAAGTTCATTAGTCGTTTTTGTTGTTTGATTTCTGGTGGACACCAAATTTTAAGCTATTGTTAACGCGGTGTAAAGGCAATGCATTACATTCTTCCAATTCGTATGTAAATTCTATTGTAAGTTCGACTTTGTTTAGTTAATCTACAAGGCCAGGGAAAACAGTATCACAAGGATATATTAATAGAGAATCTTACTTATTATAAAACGCAGATTGTGTGTGTGTTTGTGTGTGTCTGGACGTTTATATATTGGATCGGATTTCCTACATTTTTCAACCGATTTACTTCACAGGACTACGTAAAATTACCTTGCGGTGGTTCTGACAGCGCCAAAAATTAGAAAAACACAATTGTTTTTGCACGAAATCAATTTGAAAATACGATTAAGAGGCATCGCGAGAATGAAAGGGGGACAACTCATATCGAGTTATACTTATAAAACCTACGTTGTTTGTGTGTGTGTGTGTGTGTTCGTTTATATATGGGATCGGATTTCCTACATTTTTCAACCGATTTCAACAAAAATTCACTTTTTTTTGGCAGGTAGTGTTTCTTATTGTCTTGCACACTTTTTTCTTTATTTTTACATTCAGAATGCTTTAAAAATTCCATTTACAAGACAATTGTTTATAATAAAATTCTATTCAATCGGTAAACTCATAACGATCGAAAAAAATGTTTTTGTTTGAGTTTGGGTTTGACCAATTCGTAAAAAAAAAAAACAAAAAAAAACAAACTAATTAAGACATGCGGGTCCGTCAACCTTAAACAATAATCTTTGTCAATTTTATGATGGTCGATAGTTGATCTATCTCTTACTGTTACATCCCCGGGCAACGCCGGGCTCTACTGCCAGTTATCAATATATAGGAATTATGTTGATTGTTTGGATAAAATATTTTGGAATATTATCACAGTGTGGGATATGTTATAAAAAAAGAGATGGAAACAAAACGAAAAATAATCTAGATGAAATCGCCTGGATATGAATTAAATTTAAAGTTCCCAGCATTCCTTGTTCGTCGTGCGCATGTGCAGTCGCACCAATGTAACTAATTTAATCAGATGAACTTCTAAAAGACGAAACGAGTCACACGAAAACTTTTTAAATTTTCATACATTTTCCCCAATATTGCTATATATATATATATATATATATATATATATAAAAACTATACATCGTTATATATATATATATATATATATATATATATATATATATATATATATATATATAAATAAATGAACATTGAAGTCAACACTCGGAGACGACAAGCTGTTTCATGCTAGATGCAATCGTCTGGCCGCCGATTGCGTCTAGCATGAAACAACCTGTCGCCTGTAAGTGTTGATTTCAATGTTCAGTTATATATATATATATATATATATATATATATATATATATTTACTTACGCTCTATCTTTGATATTGAGCAATTTATCCCATAAAATACAGCATATCTTAAAGCTATGTTTCTTCATATATATATATATATATATATATATATATATATATATATATATATATAATATATGAATATAGAAGTCAACACTTACAGGCGACAGTCTAGATGCAAGAATCAGACCACTCGCCTCTAAGTGTTGACGACACTTTTATATTTACACACGCTCTATCTCCGATATTGAACACTTTATCCCATAAATATAGCACATCTTAAGACTATATATATACACACACACACACACACACACACACACACACACACATATATATATATATATATATATATATATATATACATCTTAAGACCATATATATATATATATATATACACACACACACACACATATATATATATATATATATATATATATATATATATATATATATATATATATATATATATATATATAATATAATAAAAAAGGCTTAAACACTAATATTCCATGGTCATAATTTGTTTCCAATGAAATCGTAAATACGATCCAAGGTCTGGTGAATTGGATCGTATTTACGATTCCAATGGAATAAATTATGACCATGGAATATTAGTGTTTAAGCCTTTTTATTATATCCTTACTCTGTCCTGGACATTGAGTTCTACATGGATTCTATCCTCTTGGAATTTTTTTTATACAAATATCTATGTATGTGTATGTATGTATGTATATATATTTATATATTTTGCATATGTATGTGTATGTATGTATGTATATATATTTATATATTTTGCATATGTATGGGTATATTTACCACTAATATTATCTATCTATCTATCTATCTATCTATCTCACTCTCTCTCTCTCTCTCTCTCTCTATATATATATATATATATATATATATATATATATATATATATAAGTTAAAAAAATCAGATAACCTTAACGGTCCATAGATTATATTTTATTTCCCCAGGAATGGGATTTTTTTCCTGGTTACTCAGATCACATTTCCAAGCATAAAAGAAAATGGTTTAAAATTTTTTATATATTATCATTTTTATACAAGTTTTTGAAGGGTAGCTTTAAGTTGCTGCAAGGTGATAGACAGAGAGGCTAGAGGAGAACGACCGATATGATCGAACTTCTATATAAGTATAGAAAAAGAAATCAACCGATTCCACCATCTTCGTTTCAAATTTTCGGTATCTTCAGGCAATTTCTCATACTTTTTGGGTCCTGTCATTGGATCTAACTAACGCCTTTATCCACTGTGCTCAAGGACACCTGGCACAGTGGATAAAGGTGTTGGTAAGATTCAGTGACAGGAATTGGGAGCTCAATGCCCGGTTAAGGCAGTGGAGAACTTGGAGAGGTGACTTAACAGGAGATAACTGATAACTGATAACTGACATCCATTAGACAAGGCACGTGGAAGTAGAACAGTCTACCCCAGCGAGCGAAATAAAGGGTTCAGTTCGACATTCCAACCACCTGAAGAAGGCCGGAGGGTACAACGGCCGAAACGTTGTGATAAATATAGCGACAAAGTTAAGGACGATAGTCCGAACAATGTAAATAGTGCCATGTAGATATTTATACATTTTTATTCATAATTACGACGATGTGAAAGTGATTGCAACCGAGATGTCATGTCAGGATCTATAACATTGCAGATTCCAGATTTGATCAATAATTTCTAGAAATATAGCAGAAATGCCAAACGACATGTGAGTTCGATCCTAAGCATTGTCTCACTGCTGGTGTCTGGAACAGATTATGTTCTGATAATAACTATTTATGTCTACAGTGAAGGTTTATCCTATAATCTGCAATATTTAGAGACGTCAAACTTGGTGAACACTTAAGTGATCGCTTACAAGGCGCAGATATTATAAAGTGTTTTTTTTTTCTTGGAGCAGGTAAAGCAATATTTTCCAGATGTCTTCCCGTTACAGGTGGGAGTAGCATAATAGTTATTGCCACGGATTGTGGAATTAGCGTGGCGAGTTCAGTTAGGCCCTGTACGTTCTTTTTGGGTTTTTTTTTTGCATAAATAACCTTCGGATGTTAGGAATAAAATGTTCGCACCGCTCCACAATTAGTTCTAAATGACCTGGCGACTAGTCGAGAAGGAAAAATCTGCATTTAAAAGCGGTTAGACGTGGGCCCGTCGACATCTTTCCGTAGAAACATACTTGCTATAAAATCCCATCAACTCTTGGTATGGTGAGGTTGCAACTCTACGTTCTAAAAGAGGAGTCCCAAAGGTTAACATACATATATACAGCCTTTTGCAAATTAATTGAAACAGCCCGATTTAATTTCCTTTCTTTCACCATGCAGTCAGTTTTAGAACCACTGGAGTTACAGGGTATAATCGATTTCTATTTTTTTCTCAGATTTGGTCATTCGCAGTGGCGTGTAGTAATATGAATCGATTTTTGGGGTGTATGATGAAATTTGCATCAGATTTACATCACGCCCAGACTGTTGTCTCGACTGTCGATGAGTTGTCCTACGGCTATTGTCTTCGATATACATTACTCCAACGAAACGTACGAAAATTGTAACGCTGTACGCACACACTGCCAACCCTTACCAGTGGGTAAATCAAACTACTATAGATTTATTCAAAAATACTAAAAAAAGTAAATACTAAAGGAATTATTTGTTTTGTTTCAATTAATTTGCACAAGGGTGTATTTATTATTTCTTTATTTTTTAAGTGTCGGCTTGTGGTAGATTGTGATGCGTTTAACATTGTTAATTTCCGAGTACTTTAGAATCCCGTCTCTCCTGCTATTTACCCATAGCATTTATATATATATCACATTTTTATCACGCCCAGACACTATTGTCTCGACTGTCTATCAGTTGTCCTACGTCCATTGTCTGCGATGGATGTTACACCGAGGAAGGGTACGAAAATTGTAACGCTACACTGACACACTGACAAGCCTTACCAGTGACCAAAACAAAATACTATAGACTCACATGAAAACTCTCCTGATTTAATTCCAATCGAGAATCGGTGGTCCATCAGCAAGGAACGACTTTGTGGAATGGACATACGAAGTACAAACATGTGCAATGCGTCATGTTTCATTGGAAAAAAATGGGGAAAAATGTGAATAATAAAGGAATTATTTGTTTTGTTTCAATTAATTTGCACAACGGTGTACCTCACCCTTCAGGTCCTTTTACGATCAAGTCTCGTCATACTTTCTTTTTCTATTAATTGTGTTTGTTTTGGAGTTTCTTACTTATATCGGATGTTACACTCTGTCAATACCTCATATATATTGGGCTTTACCTATTTGATCGCAAGGAAAGGTGGAAAAGATTCTCTTTAGTTTCAGTGATAAAATGAAAGAAGGAAAGAAAGGATGAAACAGTGAGAGAGGGGATACAGAAGGCGATAACGCTCTCATGTTTTTAACGCCTGCTTCAATGAAATGGAAAACCTTGCCAGTTTTAAATCTTTTCATTTGTGTACTCTGTCGAGAAAATTTCAACTCCCGAAAAGTCTAGAGACGGTTCTGGCCGAGGTAAAGAAACAGAAGCACTTACCTTGAGTTACAAAATAAGATTCCTTTCCGCGACATAAAGCGACCGTCAAATAACTTGCATTAACTAAATATAAAAAAGTAAAAAACGCTTCCTTTATAACTATTTCAGAGATCGGGTGGTAATAAAGTCATGTGACCCCCTGAAACTATAAAAAGTTAGTAAAAACGCAAATACTTTTATTTAATAAGCAACAACCCACATAAGTACATTGCTCTTTCCCCTGCCTGAACAGTCAAATTTTCCACACCTCTTATTTAAATAATTACTGCATTCATATTTATGATTGATATTGCAATATTTTGTTAAAGTTTTTAAGCTAAAATATTTAACGATGTGATAGGAGAATTTCTACGGATATTTTATTGGCGTAGAACATGAAAGGACACTGTTTGGTTTCCGTGAGAAAATGAAAGAAAGGAGGGAAGATAGAAATGGAGAGAGAGAGAGAGAGAGAGAGAGAGAGAGAGAGTGAGGAGTAAGCTGAGATCAGATACTACACTTTGATCTTAGCTAAAAAAAACGAGAAAGCAGAGACAAGCATAATTATAATAGAATGACTGTTATTATTGCAATATTTAGCTGAAGTTGTTAAGCTGAAATATTTAACGATGTGATAGGAGATGATCCATGGGTATTTTACTGTTATAGAACACGCCATGAGCTTATTCAAGCATTAGGTTAAGAATTAAGATTCATCAGAAGTTACAATAGGAAAACCGTAAAATTTTCAATTCTCGTTATTATTATTATAATATGAACTGCTATGACTTCTTGCAAATGATAGAAGAGTGATTTCCTGCTGATTTTCCACGATTTTCAGAATTGTTCTTCTCCTAGACGGGCAGCCACCCAAGACTAGGGCTCCCTATTGACCCTGCTATTTATAAATGAATAAAAAAAAGTAATTATAGAGAGAGAGTCATCAACAGAGGGTTTCGCAACACTTCAGGGTGGCTAAACGTCCAATTGCTTCAAAGCCGGGATCGAAACCCGACCGATTTGGCATCAGTCAGAGACTGAACTCCTCCGCTATCGTAGCGCCAGTGACCAGGAGAGGTCAATTCATAGTTGAAGAGCAATGCGCTAATAGCAGTAGGAGCTACTGTTTTTAAAATTACCCTTTTCCCAAGAGAGTTCAACCGGACTTCACGGGGATATATATATATATATATATATATATATATATATATATATATATATAGATAGATAGATAGATAGATAGAGAGAGAGAGAGAGAGAGAGAAAGAGATAGTACAGGTAATAAATCCGTTGCTATGTAATCCAAGTGGATCCTAGTAATATGAAATATTAAAACTGATCCACAAAAAGAACTCAATGTATTTATTATAACAGAGCATATAAATTACACAAAAATCTAAAATTACTCATATGGAGATAGATTTATCTCAACCAACGCGAAGTACGGTGTATAGACAGTTCATACAAGTTGAATACGACTGACGTTTTTGTGTTGGTGAAACAGATCTATCCCCATATGAGGTAATTTATATTTTCTTTGCATATATATATATATATATATATATATATATATATATATATATATATATATATATATATATATATATATATATGACCATGGAATATTAGTGTTTAAGCATTTTATTATATCCTTACTCTGTCCTGGATATTGAGTTCTACCTGGAATCTATCCTCTTGGAATTTTTTATTAAAAAATATACATGTATGTGTATGCACCTATGTATATATATATATATATATTTTACATATGTATGTGTATATTTACCACTAATATTATCTATCTATCTATCTGTCTCTCTGTCTCTCTCTCTCTCTCTCTCTCTCTATATATATATATATATATATATATATATATATATATTTATATATATGAAGAGGAGAGAACGATATATTGGTAAAGTAAAAAAGTCTGTAAGTGAAAGAAAGAGAGAAATGGAATGATTAAAAAAAAAAGATGGCGCATTAGAGGCGATAGCAGTACAAAAGAAGAACAAGTCTTGAGAAATGGAAGTTCGGGGAAAATAAATTACGAAAATTGGCGCCGAACTAGGAGAAATAACTGAAATTAGACAGAAAATGCGGAAGGTAGATAGAAAAGGCGGGAATTAAATAGTGAGAGGGAAGCGTGAACAGTAAATAAAAATGGAATTGGCGGGAAAGTGTCAAGAAATGGCGGGAAATAGATAGAAATGGCGGGAAATAGTGAATCAAGGCATTAATATAACGGGGTCGTTTTGGTAATGATATTGACAACATAACAAGCTTAACTCAAAATGCCGGGTCGCAGTTTCGGTCCTAGCAGACACTTGGCAGGCCAAAATGTCAATATAAGGGAAATTGAATACCCGCCTTGACCCATTCCTCACAGCGGCTGCAGGTCAGGAACCCTTCCCTCTCCTCTGTCTTACAGAAAGAAATAATAATAATAATAATAATAAGAAGAAGAAGAAGAAGAAGAAGAAGAAGAAGAAGAAGAAGAACAAAAAAAACAACAAGAACAACAAGAAAAGAAGAATGATAATAAGAAGAAGAAGGGGAGAAGGAGATAAAGAGAAAGGGGGAGAGAGAGAGAGACGAATGATTGCTTAAAGAAAAGGTAAAAATGGCGAAGCCTCCAGTATCATTAATATCAAATGAAGGCGGGAAAATAAAGAGAGAGGGATATTTTTTTAAATGGGCAACTGGAACCTAAGATTGGTCTGTTGAAAGGAAGGTCGTCGGGTGAGAGAGATGGGTGACGGCGGACATCGCGTTGATGAAGATGTGGAAAAATAGGATCATCGCCTTCGGGCAATAGTGTAAATACATAACAACCCTTATCCGTCATTAAACAAAGTGCTTCAGGTTGTCAATCGTAAATAAGACGATCGTAAATGGTTTTTCTTTTTTTAATGAAAATCGAGAATAAAGAATAGAATAATCGTCTGGGGCGCGTTTTTTTGATTATTTTTATTTTTAATATGAACTTAAATTTGACGTCCCTTAATCAACATAGCCGTTAGAGGGTGTACTTTTGGTTGGTGCGGAGTTTGTATAGTCCTGGAAAATACATCATGAAGAACTCTGATAAAACGTAATATGAAGTTTTTAGTTAATTTTTCAGAATCTAAATTCAGCCACGCTATTCCATATCAAGATTGTATATAAGATGATATATGTGACTTGCGGCTTTCAGAATAAAATTAGTATTAACCAACCATAAGATATTTAGACTATACTTATAGTACTTGTATTATTTACATTTATTCGGACTGTTTTCCTTAACTTCATCGCCATATTCACAACGTTTCGGCCGTTGTACGATCCGGCCTTCTTCAGGTGATTGAATCTCTGAGACGAGGTATTATGATTACTTGTATTATTTACATTATTCGGGCTGTTATGCTCATCTTCATTGCCATATTCACAACGTTTCGGTCGTTGTACGATCCGGCCTTCTTCAGGTGATTGAATCTATGAGACGAGATATGATTAATTGTATTATTTACATTATTCGGACTGTTATCCTCATCTTCATTGCCATATTCACAAGGTTTCGGCCGTTGTACGATCTGGCCTTCTTACGGTGATTGAATCTCTGTGAAGAGGTATGATAGTCCGAATAATGTAAATAATACAAGCAATCATAATATCTCATCGCAGAGATATAAACAGATTCTGATAGCTCTATCGTAAATAAGCTATACATATTCATATGGGGTAATATCTGTTTTTATTATGAACTATCGGGCGGCATTGAAACTAGCCCCGGCGAAGGGCTCTTAATCGGGACACCGGCTTGATCAAGAATTTGAGATTCCCTAAGTCTTTGCATATTATCAGCATTGGAAGCTCTCCTGGCTGTCGTTTAATCTGGGTTTTCATTTGCACGGGACTTTCTTTTCCTCGCTGCAGCCTTAGCTCTTTGGATTGAAATCTGGTCCTCTGTTGGCGGAGATTTCTTTTTGCGATTCGTAATTCTGCCGTATGCGATAGGAAACAATAAACTCAAAATTTAACTATTGCATTGATATTAAAACTTACCTTTTAAAAGTTCAACGATAATTCTTCTGCCGCGATTTAAAGACAATTTGATATGCGTATGTCCTTACATTCTGTACAAACTTTTTTTTTTTTTCATGGATGACATTTGCTGGATTTCGCAATTAATTATGGGCAAATAAATGCGTTTTTCTTGATAAAGTCCATCAGAAAATGAAATGCGTCGATAAAGAAATTCATACCGTCTTTTTACAGATATATATTTTATACTCGATCAAAAGCCGCCCTGTCGGGCGACAATTAAACTAACTCCTGCGGAAGGCTCTTGATTGGACCTTCGTCATGTTTAAGAGTTTTGAGAGTCTCTAAATCTTTGCATGTTCTCAGCATTGGAAGCTCTCCTGAGTTTTCCTTTACTCGCTGCAGCCATGGCTCTTTTGACAGCAATCTGGTCTTCTGTTGACGGAGATTTTTTTTTGCGTGACATACTCCTGCCGTATGCGATAGGCAACAAGAAACTCAAAATTGATCGCTGCATTTAAGTATTGTATTAATGTTTAAGCTTACCTTTTAAAAGTTCAATGATAATTCTTCTGCCGTCACTTAATTTAAAGACAGTCTGATGTGCGTAGGTCCTTACTTTCCGTACAAACATTTACTTTTAGTTTGTGGGTAACTTTCGTTGGATTTCACAATTAATTTCGATTATTCCCAGATATATTTCTAAGATGTAAAAATTGTTGTCGTACTTTTTTGGACAATAACAGTTTTCTTAACTTGGAAGTAATTCGTCGCAAATAATCACGCCAAAAACAATCGCAGTAATGAAAACTTGAGAATCTAGAATTTCAGGATTAAGAGTCCGGATTCGACCCGAAATGTTTTTAATTTGCTCACGGAGCCGACCTTAATACAAAATTGTATGATATGTTGAGCTACGACCTAAATGAGTAAAGTTTAAAAGGTGTGACACACTGACATTCACATTTATTTATATGGATATTTGCCCTAACTTATTTGTACGTGTGAGATTTTATTATACGACTGAAACAGTGTTGCTAGGATTATATATATATATATATATATATATATATATATATATATATATATATATATATATATATATATATAATAAAATGGTGCAGTTCAATTTATATTACATGAATCATTCAAACAAAAAGTACATTAGTAAAGTTAATGATATAAATGGCGAAAAACATCTTCGCAAACAAATTTATTAAAGTTACATTAACCTACGAACCACTCGATGAATGTTATGATCCTTGTTTTTAATAACTTCAAGTTGCATAAGGTCTTTTTTTTATTCTGCTAGTACTTTCGGCTGTACATACAGCCATCCTCAGGCATGGAAATTAATAGCTGACATTCAATCTTTCGTATCCCGATATGATAAAGGGGTATTTTCAAGATAATGCAGACATATTAGTGGATGAATTGAAGTTTCTTTAAGCAAGAAAGTATAAGAACAAACTTCTTCTTCTTCTTCTTCTTCTTCTTCTTCTTCTTCTTCTTCTTCTTTGTGTTGTGTCCTTTTAGGACGTTGGCGATCATGACTCTCAATAATTTCCTGTACTTTGTAGCTCTTATTAAATTTTATTTTTTTGTTATCTCTCCTAAACCTTATTCCGCCAAACCTCAAGTTCGCCAGGTAGATCATGAATTGTTTTCCTATGTCCTTCTTCCCCACTCCCGTCTCTCCTGTGAGTATCAAATTCTTCACTCCTTTTCCCTTGTTATGTACCCTAGAAACTGCCCCTTCTTGATGCTTTCTCTAAAGCCTCGTTATTGCTTAAATGGTTGGGTCCACGGTATTCTCATCATCCTTCTGTAGAACCATATTTCTTTTTACTTATTCATCATTGACTGCTACAGTGTATGAATAAAGAAAAAAAAAGAAATAGTATTCTTTACCATCGCGTTTCGTCCTCTGATAGACTTTATCAAAGCGAATGTAAAGATATTATTTTGGAACAAGTATTTATGCACGGAAGTAAAACTATCGTTAGGTCTTCAATTTCTTGTTTTTAATTCAAGAACGCTCATAATTATTCTTCAGTTTTAGTTTAAATTTCTGTGGCACATAATGAGAAAAAAAGGCTTGGAAAATTTGATACTCACACAACAGATTAAAAGATGTGAATGGCATTTTGCCTCTGTGTGTGTAAGAGAGAGACAGAGAGCGAGAGAGAAAGAGGTATATCGTTTTCTTCACGTATTTGTGTTCAAGGTTCCTATGAAGAACTCTGACAGACGTATATTTTAAGAAGATTCTTAGCTTCTTATAATTATGAAAGGCAAGTAAGCCTTTAGCATTGTATACTGCGTACAATTACGTCTTGTATGCAATGTGATGTTAGATTCCTTGGGGACTGATATGTCCCTCAAAGATGAATGACACCCGATGTACCTAGAAGGCATCCCACGGTTAAGTGAGAAAAAAAGAGCACTTTTCCTTATATACTGTTTTCACGGAGCCATCTAGTGGTCATTAGCAGGATTTTTTTTGCCAGACAAGTGGAGTAATCTCACTTTTTCACATGAGAAACCTTTTCTCTTCTTTTATGTGTTGTGTCCCTTCAGGACATAGGTAATTATGGCTCTACAATTCACCCAATCCCTTGTAGCTCTCAATATGTTCCGTCATCCATTTGCATAAGCCCGCCACGTATGTCACGCGTTGGTTTCACTAATCGCTCTTTCCCTCTATCTGTCCTGTGAGCATCAGATTCTCCAAGCCCTCCTTTCTCATTACGTGTACCAGAAATTTCAGCTGCCTCTATCTGATGATAATTATAAGCTTCCTCCTTGTTTGCATCCTCTCCAAAACCTCATCGCTGCTCACATGTTTGATCCATGGTATCCTTAGCATCCTTCTGTAGAACCATACCTCCGTTGCCTTGAGTCTTCATTCGCTGCCGTAAAAGAGGACAGATATCACGTAGCAGTTCAGTTCTCTTTTCTTTGTCAGCAACGAAATCTTCCTGTCTCGTAATACTAGATTTTGGAATGCGCCTTTGGCCTGGGATGGCCAAGCATGCATTCCAAAATATGTCTTCGGATCTCAGCGTCACACTTTCCGTCCTCTGTCAGATCACTTCCCCCATATTTAAATTTCCGCACCTGCTTGATTTTAGTGCCCCTGACCTGCAATTCACATTTCGGGCTCATCTTTGTACTGATGACCATGCATTCTGTTTTCATGTAGTTTATGCTTAGTCCCAACTAGTCAATCTCTTTCGTTACCTTCTGTAGAAGGTTTTATAATTTCCTTTCCGTGTCTGCGAAAAGCCTAATATTCGTATTCTCCATCTTTTCTTTCTGTTTACATTAGCGACACCAGTTTCTTCAAATATTTTACAGTCTATGTTTCTTGTTCCGTTTAATTTTTTGCAAAAGAAAATTAGTCTTTTTTTTTTTGTTGTTATTATCCTGCCAATGTTTTTAATTTCTTTTTTTTTTTCCTGCCATTTTTTTCAGTTAACCAGTTTTCAAGACAGGAGGATTTTTTGGTAACAAAGAAAAGAATACTGAACTGTTATGAGACATCGGTTCTTCTTTACGGCAACGAATGTTGGACGATTTCCTCAAAGATGACGAATAGACTCGAGGTGACGGAGATGTGGTTCCACAGAAGGATGCTAAAGATATCATGAACCGAGCGTGTGAGCAAAGATGTGGTCTTGGAGAGGATGCAAACAAGGTGAAGGCCTATACTTAACATCAGAATGAGGCAGCTGAAGTTTCTAGTACACATAATGAGGAAGGAGGGCTTGGAGAATCTGATACTCACGGGTCGAATAGAGGGAAAGCAGCGCGTGACATGCG